AACGTTTGAATGTACTACAGACCTCTAGTGGAGACACGATTAGCCCATCTAACAGCATCCAACAACAAATAACACAGTTAACACAACAGCTAGCAGCACTACAAGCGACTATTTCTACCATCCATTCTCGACCTGCCAGATCTAGGTCCAGAAGGAGATCAGTATCCAGACCTCGTCTTAGGTCACCCAAACGGACATCAGATACTTGCTGGTATCACGCGACTTTCGGGGAGAAGGCACGCCGTTGCACTAAACCATGCAACTTTAAAATAAGCAACCCAAAGGACCAGGGAAACGAGACGGCCAGACAGTGATGGCGGCGCCTGTTTCTGGCCACTACCCGAGCCGTCTATTTCACGTCAGGGATCGGATTTCGGGCTCAGATTTTTTGGTCGATACAGGAGCCGAAATCAGCATAGTCCCATTACACCTTTCTCAACGACGGCACTCGCAAAGTACTAAATTGTCTCTAGTCGCTGCTAATAACACAGTCATTAAAACTTATGGTGAACAATCACTCATCTTAGATTTTGGTCTCCGTAGACGTTTCACATGGGTTTTCATCGTAGCTGAAATTAAACAACCCATTCTCGGGGCCGACTTTCTTGGTGCTTACAGCCTATTGGTAGACATGGGGAAAAAGAAACTTATTGACAAGAACACAAGTTTGCAGGTCAGTGGCACTCCTGCCTCGAATTACGAAATTCATGGTGTTCGAATGTTAAGACCTGAAAACAAAATTTTCACTGATATCCTGTCGAAGTACGAAAGTATAACCAGAACTGATTACCAAAACGAATGCTCCACACATCATGTTCAACACAATATCTCTACTACAGGACCACCCATTCGTGCTAGGGCGCGAAGACTCCCACCAAACAAGTTGCAGTTCGCTAAGAGAGAATTCGAACACATGATGCAGCTTGGGATAATCAGACAATCTAACAGTCCTTGGGCCTCGCCGTTGCATATGGTTCCCAAGAAAGATCAAGACTGGCGCCCATGTGGAGATTATCGCCGACTAAATAACCAGACTATCCCAGACAGGTATCCAATCCCTCATTTACATGATTTTTCTTTAAATTTACATGGAAAACAGATTTTTTCAAAGTTAGATCTAGTACGAGCATACCATCAAATACCGATGGCGCCTGAAGATATCGAAAAAACAGCTGTAATTACACCTTTTGGCTTGTTTGAATTTTTGAGGATGCCTTTCGGACTAAAAAACGCCGCTCAAACCTTTCAGAGATATATGGATGAAGTAACTAGAGGTTTGGAATTTGTATTTGTCTATATCGACGACGTTTTAATCGCTAGTTCTTCCACTGAAGAACATGTCCAGCATTTACACACGCTGTTTGAACGTTTCAAAAGTTATGGTGTTGTAATCAACCCTTCGAAGTGCATATTTGGAGCCCCATCTCTGGAATTCCTAGGACACCATATTGATTCCCAAGGAATTAAACCGCTTGAAGAAAAAGTCAAAGCCATCTCCAGCTACCCAGAACCAACCTCAGTAAAATCACTACGTCGTTTTCTGGGAACATGCAATTTTTATCGTCGATTTCTACCAAATTGCGCCGATGTACTACAGCCATTGACAGATTTACTGAAAAATGATAAATCAGGTACCAAGAAAGAAAAAAACCAAATATTTAAGTTACCTTCTGATGCTAAAGTAGCATTCGAAAAAGCTAAATCCATGATTGCTAATGCTACCATGCTTCAACATCTAAATACTGACCCCACAACACAGTTGATCCTATGCACAGATGCTTCACAAAAAGCCGTCGGGGCGGTATTACAACAGCGAGTAAACAACTCGATTACCCCAATCGCCTTTTTCTCCAAGAGATTATCACCAACACAAGAACGTTATAGCACTTTTGGACGCGAACTCTTGGCTATGTATTTAGCGGTAAAACATTTCAGTTTTCTGTTACAGGGTCGCGATTTCATCATTATGACGGATCATAAACCCCTTTGCCATTCTTTTGGCACATCGTATGACAAACACTCGCCACGAGAAGCAAGACAATTGGATTACATCTCCCAATTCACTACAGACATCCGGTTTATCAACGGTCACTCAAACATTGTCGCTGATGCACTGTCTAGGAGAGATATCAATATGATGGTACGCAATCATGACATCAGCCTTGAAACTTTGGCTAAACTTCAAGTAGACGATGCAGAGTTGAAAGTCTGCAAAGAAAAGTCTAGCTTAAACCTCAAACCTGTACCAATTCCTCTTTCAGATGCATTCATCATGTGTGACACCTCAACAGGCAGCAATCGTCCGTTTGTCCCACATGCCTGCAGACGAAAAATATTTCAGCACTTACACGGTCTTTCACATCCAGGCATCAGAGCAACAACAAGGCTCATCACTGAACGTTTTGTGTGGCCGAAAATCAACTCGGACGTTAAGCGTTGGACACGTAGCTGCCTCCAGTGTCAACGCAGCAAAATACAAAAACATACTATCAGCCCGATCGGCGAATTTCCTATTCCCGACAAACGTTTTCAACATATTCATTTGGATTTAGTTGGGCCACTGCCCCCGTCCAATTCCTTTACCCACATTCTCACCGCAGTAGACAGATTTACAAGATGGGCCATAGCCTGCCCTATAAAAGACACTTCCGCAGAAACGATAGCTGGCGTTTTCCTTGAGCGTTGGATAGCAAATTACGGAGTACCGTCTATCGTCACTACAGACCGTGGTCCCCAGTTTCAGTCTATCTTGTTTCAGGAATTTACAAGACTTCTGGGCGTGAACCACATCAAAACAACAGCTTACCACCCAGCAGCTAATGGCATGGTTGAAAGATTTCATCGCCAATTAAAAAGCTCGCTGATGGCCCAAGATGATACAACCAAATGGAGTGACGCATTACCACTTGTACTCCTCGGTATTCGTTCAACCATAAAGGAAGACATTGGATGTACAGCCGCCGAGTTAGTCTATGGTACAACTCTAACGTTACCTGGCCAACTAGTCAACTATGAACCTACAACGCCAGGAGAGACTACTCACTTCGCAAGTCGCCTATTACAAACTATGCAGAATATTAAAGCAATACCCCCTCGTGAACACAACAATCGAGTCCAACTTGATAAAAACCTTGAAACGTGCAAATTTGTCTTTGTCCGAGTAGATACGGTTAAAAAACCATTGAAACAACCATATAAAGGTCCATATAAAGTAATTAAACGCACACAAAAATACTTCATCGTCAACAGAGATGGCAACAAGCAGACTATTTCTATAGACAGAATAAAACCTGCTTTCTGTGAAGCTACTCAAGTCAAGGAAGACAACGCCGTTGATAATCAACCCCTCCCACCAGCGACTGAACAACCAATGGAGGATAAAAAACTTAATACTAAGCCCCCTTGTTTAACACGCTCCGGTAGACCTATAAACAAACCCAAGCGTTATGTCCATTTCGTTGATTAAAAAAAAAGCAAAACACACACCTCTCTATGTCACACACTACTAATTTCACCCAAAAAAATTTTTTTTTCCTTTTCACAGTGTACATAATCACATTTTTCCACAATTACTCGTTTTGTCAGTTTTTAAAAAAAAAAAAAATTTTGTTTTGTTTTTGTCACACTAATAAACGAGTAAACTCTGTTTAGTTATTCATTTATCGTATACAAACATAAACAGTTCAATTTTTTTTGGCTCTTTAGCATTTTTACACATTATTATTATCATTGTCAGCCAACCAAGGCATTAAATGACAGTGTCTTCATTTTTTTTTTGTGTGTGTGCTTATTATACTATGCTACATCTCTACTACACGTCATACTCATCTCCACATTTTTGTTGGTTATAACTGTAAATATTATTTTTGTATACATGTATATATCACACCCTTACATTTTTTCTATTATAACCAGTGTTACCTCCGGACACTCTGGGGGGAGCTATGTGGAGATGGACCTGTCAAGCTTATTTTGTAAATAGTTTTCAATGTTATTTGTATTTACTTTGTCAACCTTCCACTGTATGTATATTTAACATTAAATGACTGTAACTGTTGTTTTAGTAAATGACCTTGAACACACTTTCCGTTGTACTGCTACATTGCGTGCCATACCGCTGCTAGCTAACAAATACAACGCTTCTCGCACACTCATCGTTCTACTTCCATTTGTGATTGAGATATCCGAAGTCTAAATCAAATTCTATCTTCATTTATAGACTGTAACCGAAATATATCACATTCAACGTTGGATTATATCATTAGAGAGTTCAACTTGTTCAGAATCAACAAACATTTATAATTGTGGATTTACTTTACTGGACCTAACCCTAACACGCGACGTCTGATCAATTTAAGTAACGTCCCCAATTTTTACTGTATTTGTGACAATTAATTATATATATTAATATTACTATTGATTTTTAATAACTTTGTTTATATTTTTTGTGTTCATATCTGTTTGGTCCACCACAGTTTGAAGCAAAAGGTAATGAGTTCGAGTCCCAAGGTGAACATCAATTACGGGATGCAGGTACATCCAGCTGACGAGTCCCACATAAGATGAAACGCACGTACTGGATTCCGCTGCTAGACGCCATCCGTCTTTGTTTATATTCTTAGTATTTGTGAAGTATTTAATACTTTGAATTTATTTAATATCTAATATCGGCAATATTATAACTGTAATCAAAAACAAACATTAGTGGGGATTTTGAACGAGATACCTCATAATTGGGCACAATAGTGCAGATGTATTCACTTTTTATTCGTGAAGAGTAATCGCTTGAGCAGACATAAATATTTGTTAGGTTCTACAGAGCACGAAATCTAGGTACAGAGTTTTCTATCAGGCTAAACATAAACGCCTAATATTTTTTAGATCTCTCTGTCTATCTGGTTGCCAACACTGTTACCAGATGGACATTATGACCAATACAAATATTTATAAATAAATACATACAATATGTAAAATTATAAACACTGAATTTAAAAATTTACCGACAAACCAACATAGGTGCTCCAGGTGCTGGTCTCGGCCAAAATGTACGTCGTTCAACAGGAAAATCAGAACGGTCTACCAAATGATCTGTTATATCTAGATACGCTTCATCTAAACTGACCGCCGAAAATGGAATATTATCTGATTCACAGGAATTTCGTGCACTCTCAGGAGAAACAGTGTATTCCATTAAAATAGATCGTACTACACGACTAGCTGCAGTATACTTTACGAAATCACACGGTATAATTTTCAATTGAGGACAAAGTTTTTTGCCTAAGAATCCAGGTAGACCAGCACGTACGCCGAATCGTCGAGCGATATAATTGCTTGTAGACTAAAGCAAAACATAATGAGAAATAATCTTTACTGTACAGTTATTCTATATCACTTGAAAATAATTAAGACGTTTCAAAGAAGAAACGTTTCTTCTCGACGATATCATTTTCCGAAGTTGTACAATCATATTTATCGGAGATTTTTACATGCAGTAGTTTATGGTAAAAACAGAGGACTTTTACTAAGTTATCAAAGACCAACCTATTCAAGTGAAAGTCAATGAGATATAAGATATTGATGGAGATGGTTGACAAGAAATACTGGACCCGCGTTTCATGCTATTTGAGACTCGTCAGCAAGGTGTACTGCTACTCCCTGGCGAATTCGATCCCATAGAACACAGTTTCACAATCCAAAACGTTATAACTGATCTATTCGGACCGTTGCATAAGCCACATTGCAAGTTGATCGATAGGATTCGATTAGCACTAAGAAAGAGTTGCTATACATGACATTGATCACTATCCAGTGATCGGCCAATTGTGTAATTCAATGCAAGTGAAGTGGTATTGCATAATGTAATCAAGGATTGAATATTATATATATATTCTCTCACATGGTCGCGCGTATATAGCCTCTGTCAGGTAATTCCTATTCACTACATTCTCCGTGTTGCCTACGAAATTGAGAGGACGAAAAGCGAATGTCCTGTGCCTTAACCGGGTCGGTGGGCACAGAGAGTCCACCTAGAGGAGTTGGAAAACCCTTATTCCAAACCAATGGTGGACATGGGCTCCAGAATCCTGAGGGAACAAATGGCGTATGAACCCATTGTTGGTCGCCGGTTACTATGGAGCCGCATCTCCTTACATTGCTCCACTGCCTTGTGGATCACACCTCAAGGTCCAAGACTCGGGGTGTGGCCCCCTAATAAAACCGCGTGCTTCGGTTTGAGCAACCGGGCAGTATCCCAATACTCACATAAATGATTTATGTGGCGCATATTTTTTGGTGCCTCCTTGTACCAATGTTTATGTGTTTAAATAAATAAATGAATAAAATAATAAATTCTTTATTACTTTTATTACTGATAAACTAAGTATTTGTCCAGTTTACATTACAGTGTAAGATAAATAATCCTTTCTAAAACCTACTAGCATACTGTTACTACCGACAGCAACTGGATGATGTCTAAGTTCGGGTTGATCACGTATTTCAACAGCTGCATAAAATGCATCCATATCCACATGTACAATGATTCGAGAAAAACGTCGTTTCTGTCTTAAATCGTTCAGTATGTGATCTGCCTAGAATGCAAGCAAAAATTAGTTGATGGAACAACCAAATTTAATATGAATAAGTAAACGAATTAGATTAAAAGCTGAATCAGTGGGGAGCATCTAAAATCTTACAAGGTATAACGGCGAGACTATAATTTATGGACGAATCAATCAGATTTAGGATAACACGTCTTAGATTTCGGAGCGAAATTCATTCAACCGTTTGGCTAAATAGAGTTTTGGCATTTTAGCTGGTGTCAGTTCGTGATGAAAACATTAAATCTAAATCCTAACCCTAACCATCAACGTTAAATCATAATTCTAATTCCTCACACTGGTTTACAACCCTCATTTGGTCCTAGTTAGTAGGTCACATTCTGAAGGTCACTTAATCGTCGCTCAAACGTCGTCCAAAAATTATAGTCTCACATATATAACTGTTAGGAAATCGTACAATCAGGAACACAATAAACATCACTCGAAAGTGAAATAAACAATAATCAATTATTATATCCACGCAATTTCAAAGCTTTTTCTTAAGCATGAAACATTTGAGAAATTTATGAATACATGAAGATATATATTAATTTCTGACTGTTAATCAAAACGCCAGTGAAGTATTGAAAAAAAAGCTTTTGATTTGAGTAAGTTGCTCAATACTACAAAAGCGGGGCGGGGTCGTGGATGCGCACTGCTGAGGAGTCCCAAACTGAGATGAAATGGCCGTCTAGTGCTTCCAGGTGGTCTGTAGTGGCTGTGCTTCGTTAATTAATCACCCTCGAACCGTTATCGTACAATCTTCAACGATACTTGAAATCAGAAGGCAAAAAGAAGCAGCTACTACAGTTTTATTTAGCAGATAATTCGGACCAGACAGCAGAGAGGCAAAATGAATGAGCAAGCGAACTACGATTGTAGCAGTAGTAAGTAGCTGTAGTCAATGCGTGCAAAATGTACAGGTATATATATGTATAGGAAAATAGATGAGTCAGCGAATAGATTAAGCAGTTAATAATGAAGCTAGCAGAATGAATACATGCGTAGGCGCTAAACAATGTTCAAGCATATGTATTTCATACAAGCATAATAATAAAGATAGTACAACAAGTTGTTATATCATGGATGACTTTGTCCATTAAATAAGTTAACAAAAGGGCTTAACTGAGTTAAATGAGAATAAACCCATTTGCACGTGAGTCGCTATAGGTCTACCTTCAATTGGCTCATGAATTTAATTATTAAATTACTACAATCTCCACAAAACCGTTTACTGATTATAAAAGATTAATGGTTAGTACAATTGAGTATCTCTTTTTATAATGAATATGTTATACATATCCAAGAGACTTGTGCGCTGAGAATTCCATATTATGCTAAACATATAATATTGAATAATTTCAAGAGTTGAGATCATAATTCAATTTAAGCTAATAAAAAAACTAATAAAATAATACTATTATTATATAACTTTAAAATAAGGACCAAGATGCCGGGTAGAAGTATTAATAACAAAACGTTTTTCATCCAGATGAATATATACTTAGTTAATTTGAGAACTTGAACAAAATGCTATACTACTCTAGAAGAACTCTTGTTCCAGGTTGTACAGAATAAGTAGATCATTTAACTATGTAGACAAGATAAAAGCTCTGTAATGAAAAAAGGAAGCAATGGAAAGAAGTGTTAGCGATTAACAAGAGGAAAGTACTGGAAAATACTGGATAAGGAAGTGTCAACTTCAAAGAATTTAAGATGCATCGCACCTGTATCTCCAACAACCGAACTCGGGTATCTTTACAACCTGAATAAATTAACTTCATAATCAAATTTTAAATTTCATGTGAAATAATTCATTGACAATAAGAGACGATGAGAAAGAGAGGAGAAAATGTACTTACTTCTAATTCACCACTTTTTAACATCGCCGGTGTAAGTGATTTTATAACTTTAAGCTTTTGTTCAATTTGTTGACGAAGAGCTTTTTCCCGCCTCAGTTCATTTTCATAAAACTTTGACCCTTAGATAATTGAAAATTTGTTAGTAAAACTAATTCCTTTGTATTAATGAACGTGAGTTCAAAATTAAAGTTCCTTACAGTTATTCGAAAGCTTGATCTAACCATGATACCTAAGATATACCCAGATCTTCATTATAAGCGAAGTATATGATACAAGACTACTTCCTGTGCTGTAATAGAGTCGCAAAACATCTTTTGAATGATAAAGATATATTAAAAATACAGATAACGGTTACTAAATTTTTGAAGCATTGTTCGTATATCATGGGACCACCGAGTAAGTAATATATTTGTTAGGAAACGAGTATTAGGTAAGGATGGCAAATCAACTGATGAGGTCTCACTACTTCATCAGTTGAGATGGCTGGGACATGTGTTACATATGTCCAACCACCGACTGCCCCGACAAGCGATGTTTTACGGTGTAGCAGTAGGTTGGAAGACCAAAACATGGAGCAAATCCATGAAGTCACTGACAAGTGAACTGAGCCATGTTGGTAGGGGTAGATCATCTGGTTGGAATCCGTGAGACGATAGAGACCGATGGTTAGAGACCTTAAATGACATGGCTCAAAATCGTTTGCGATGGCGCAGGTGCATCTACTCTTTGTGTTATCCTAAATTCTTGCCTTCTGAATTCTTCATGTCCCTTTTTTTCCTCTTTCCAAATTTATTTCACTGGATTATACTCCTTGGATAACATCTTCAAACCCCAATCTTTCCGATTACTGCTTGTACTTTTGCTCAGTCAGTCAGTCAGTAGCAACGTAGAACTTCGTACGTACGTACATCAGTTCGAGTTGCCACACCACATTAGCACAGAGATGCCGTGGTCGATTCAAATCCCGTAGTGGTAGAGGTAATAAGAGTATAAGCAGTAGTCGGAAAGATTAGTGTTTGGAGATGTTACTTAAAGAGTATAATACAGTGAAATAAACTTGGGAAGAGAAAAAAAGAGACAAGGGGGAATCAGGAGATCAAAATTTGGGAGAACACAAAGAGTGGATGCACCTGCGCCATTGCAAACGATTTTGAGCCATGTCATTCAAGGTCTCTAATCATCGGTTGCTATCATCTCGCGGTCCCCAACCAGGTAGTCTACACCTACCGACATGACTCAGTCCACTTGTCAGTGACTTCATGGACTTGTGCCATGTTTTGGTCTGGCCGCCCCTAGCTTTCTTCCAACCTACTCCTATACCACTGAACATCGCACGTCGAAGCAGTCGGTCGTTGGGCATACGTAACACGTGTCCCAGCCATCTCAACTGATGAAGTTTCACTACTTCATCAATTGATTTGCCATCCTTACCTAGTGCCCGTTTCCTAACAACTGTGTTACTTACTCGATGGTCCCATGATATAAGAGCAATGTTTCCAAGACACCTATGATCGAATACTAGTAACCTACGAATATCCTCTACTCTTACCGGCCATGTTTCACTGCCATAAAGTAGGACGGGACGAACTGCTGCGCAGTAAACACGTCCTTTGGTTGATAGACGGATATCTCGCCTACGCCATAAATGACGCAAGTTCGCAAAAGCTAGTCGAGCCTTCTGTATCCGTGCTGAGATTTTGTCACACACCAGACCACAAGGACTGATGAGACTTCCAAGATAAGTGGAGCGGTCGACACACTCAACTACTTCACTCCCTATCACTAGTTCGGGTGTCGATGTAACCCAATCCTGAAGCAACATTTTGCATTTCGAGGGAGAGAATCGCATCCCGAACATGCTTGCATTGTTGCTTAGAGTGGTCAGAAGACTCTGCATTTTGTCAGCGTCTTCGCCAAATAAAACTGTCATCAGCATATTCTAAGTCAACAAGTGAACCTCCCGGTAGAAGTTCAACCCCTGGAAATTTAGATGAGGAGAGTGTCATCTCTAAAAGTACGTCGACCACAAAGTTGAACAAGAATGGGGAGAGTGGACAACTATGGGATTTGAATTAACAATTGCATCTTTGTGCTAATGTAGTATGGCAACTTGAACTGATGTACGTACGTATGAAGTTCTACGTTGTTGCTAACTGACTGAAGCATCATTTTGGTCCAATGGAACCATTTAGCAATGGCAAGGTTATTGACAAGAGCGACCTAACTAATAGTATTATGATACTGAATTAACTATGGTTACAGAGACCTGTGTTAAACAAATAACCCTATTATTTCCCACGATAGGTAGAGTGGCGTTTGAAGCCCTATTCTAATGAATGGAGGCTTACTTCTTGACTTAATAGATCACGTTACACAACAAATCAAAACACCAATTAATTATGTCACTAATCGCAGACACCAATCATATGAAGAATCCAACCCTTTACACTGTAGTTCGCAAGATATTACTATGTAAATTCACTAAGTGAAATGAATCTACATTTGAGAGGATAGCTTGAAATGACATAAGGTTGTAAATGATTTCTCATTGAGTCATCAGTATTTTCGTTAGCTAGGCTATAAATATACTGAATTACATTAAATACAAAAGAACGAACCCGTAAGTACATTTACAGGAAAATGTAGCTTAATTATTCATTGATCTATATAGCTGAATTAGACATCCTTTGACATCCTATAGAATTTTTATGAATAATATAATATTATGTTGATGGTATTTTGAAGTATCTTAAAGATAAAGTATGTCCATTTCCTCTTATTTTAAACTTGTTACTTATATGCATGATTTGGTCACAGGTATACAAATAATAATATTATATATATATATATATATTCTACAAAATTCACCTTTGGAATTCTCCAATATAATATTCATAATTGTGGCTTTATCTAAACCTTCCATACCAGCTTTGCTCGTACTATATCTACAACAACCTTCCAGATCAACATTCATTTTAGATGGACCTAGAATACAGTAAATTAATAATCATGTGGGTAATTAAAACGTTATATATATATATATATATATATATATATATATATATTAGATAGATCGGTTTTCTTTTAATGATAATGAAAGCACGTAAAAATACTTTCATAAAAAACAGTAATCAAGGTTTGATAGGAGTAATTACTGTTATAATATTATTATAGGTCAGACCTAACTTCGGATTGTAAAACACTGACGGATCAAACACCCCAGGAGATGGAAAAATATATTGTTGTATATACTCCCGTATGCTGCATAGTTCGTAACTCCTTTAAGTTTACAAAACGCTCTATGGAAGAAATAGGCAAATTAGAATCAGTCGTCGTGCAGAACCTAACAAGAATAGTTAGCGATTGGAATTCTGAATTAATTTAGACTGAATAACTATTTACATAGGATTACTTCACTGTTTTCGTTTAATATATTTAGGCTTTTTCCTATTTACTCTACAAATATGCATCACATTAATTTGTAACTCAGACCGAACTCTTAATATTTTCTAGCTTCCTTTAACACACAACATTACGTCTTGTTTACGAAAGATGAACTTAACAGATTTAGATTATAGATATAAAATACGTTTATTTCTCATGATTGTGATAATTAATTATATTATTCTCCATTCCTTTATAAAACATATGAAACAATATAGGATTTATTTATTTCGAGCCCATCCAATTTTAAACTGTTTTCTACTTCAACGCCGAAACAAATAGAATATTTGAAAAATACAGCATATATATATGCAGAAAAACCAGCAACCGGAAATACCATAAGTTTTCATCCCGGTAACTAAATAGTTGGTAAATAAAAAGAATTACTCATTTTCTCGATAACGATATGAAAGATAATTGTGAAATTGTAGTTTGTATCTCATTTGCCAAGTACACGTTTCCGTACTTAAAGCCATACTGTGTGAAAGTTAAGTATGCAACCTACACCAAGATAGGGGGGTTCGAAACTGTGAATTACCGGTTGATATTTAATTACTATAATCACTGTCACTACACTGTGGCATAATAATTCCCTAACTTGACAGTCAAATATAGAAATACAAGTTTAGGCCCCAATTAGTTTGTAATGTCAAAGCTTCATCTCTTCCATTTTACACTGTTAACTAATCATTTTATCCATTGCCTGTCTGTCAAAGCAATGTATATTTCTCACGAGTGATATGTAAAAGAAACATTGGTAATTACAAAACTTCGGTAATATAGCTCAGATATATTCATACCTCATGTTATTCTAAAGTGTGAACATTTCAATGTCATGCGCTAGGTTGTAAAAACAAGAGATGGGGATATTCCTAATTACCTTATTTTAAAAGGTTAAGTATAACCGGTTCCAGACAAATGCACCTTACACTCTGTACTCCATAGAAGTTCTTTCTTTATTTTTGGATTACGCTGCCAGATAATACTCAGTAAAATAAGATGCTAATAAACATGCCACACAAAACCAAGTGACTACTGTGTAAATAAATAGAAACCATTTATTAAAAATATTAAAAAAGAGAAGTCAAAAAATAGTCTACGTAATGACAAAACCAAGGTAGACCCCCATTCAGCAGAGAGACATCAATCTGTTTATGAAGAACTAGACAAAGATCACCGCTGGCTTTAAGTGTGAACTGAAACCAATAAAACCTTGAAGCATTAATTTTAATGATCTCCATCATCCACACTGGCAAGTCGTGAAATGATAAGAGATGTTAGTCGTTTGCAACCGCAATCACTACAGCATTCTACAACGAAATTTCCAGCTAGAATAATTGGTAGCACTGGAGGTGGCCTAGATCACAATGACCCCTATCAACTACATGCAGGCTGAACCCGTCTTACACACTAATACTTATAAAACTATACAGCAGCATGGAATTCACTATTTCCAAAGATTCAACACCAAGGGTGGGTGCAAGCACGCAGCTTTGCACTTATTGTGGTAAATTGCACTTCAATGTTGGAAGGCACATACCACATTTATGGATGCTGGCCAGAATCTGGGTAGTTTATATAACTTTCTGTACGTTGTCTGTAAACGAGACAGTAGTTGTTAAAATATTGTAAACTAAGGGGATTCCATCCTTACAAACTACTTTAAATGCAGTTAAACTACCAGGCATGCAAATATTAAGCTGCATAACGAATTTCAGACACAAAAGAGATGTTAGTCGAGATTCTCAACCAGCGTCCAATAAGATGGTTGGGAAAGGTCACGCCACCCACCTTAATGAGGCTGGTTGTAGTTTGTAATAATACAAATATGACCAAATTAATACACTTCACAAGTCAATTAAATTACTATTAGCCTGAACAAAAAAACAGTGGTTGGAGATCATAAGAGATATGCATCAGTATTAAAAACATTAAAGTGTATTCATTGGATTTATTTCTTAATTTTCTTTACAATTACAAAGTGCCAAATAAACTAGTACACTTTATCAAAAAGCGTTTTAAATTGGATTGTGATCCTTATAAAGTAAATAATATAGTAGTTAGTAATATATGGAAAATAACTTCATAAAACACTCAAATACTACAGAAGAAACTGTTTAACCCAATAGCAGTACAACTGATTCTTTTAAAAGAATCCCGTGTGCAACCAATGAATATTTAAAAACCTCGTTAACACTTCGCCCAAAATCAGTCACGGAAATTGATGACAGACTAAGAAAAGAGCTTTGATTTTCACGTCTCATTCCAAAAATGATCCCCAAAAGCTCACTAATCGAGTTTATACATTTGAACACAAGTAAATCGCTGAAAAATCACCCTAGGTTATATCACTCAAGTGAAGGAACTGGATCATGGCTATTCGAAATTTTTGACTTTTTGAACGAGTTAAAACTCGATTCGGGGAACTGCTCTCATATGAATGGGAAAAAGGGAACACAACCATGTTTAACTCTTAATAACCATTTACGTAAAAGAGGGAAATCGTCTTGGGATGATGATTTGGCTGACCATTCTTGGTATGGTAACCCAAAGTTTAGCGTCAATCAATATACGCAAAAGCAAAATTTCTGTGACAAGTGTTTGAATCCTCCTTATCTGTAGAAATTAAGGTAAATCGGAAACAACAAGCAGAAAATAGTGATTGCGAGCTTATGGTCCTTTAAACAAGATACTATCCTACTAAAAAAGCAGAATCAGACGTTAAGAGAACTAATCTCGTCAACATAATGCTGAAATAGAAGTATTACGTTCTGACAAAAGCGCCCAAAGTAGTCATTATTTATTGAGGTAGCTTAGCAGTGAAAGCGTTCAACTTTCAGCCGATAAATTACAGGTTCGAAACTCACTCAATCCACTTCAGTTTGGGCAACCAAGTATTATCATCAGCCCTCACACTTAGTGAGACTCATACCCAGTTAAGCTATTTTTTATTCAAGTGGATTCTGTGAAACTATTCAGTTACTTGACGAGTACAGACGGTGATTGAGTAATTCTTATGTAATTGAGTGAACCACTTTGTGCTCCAAATCTGGGACTGGTGAGCAACGAGACAAGAACATATGGTCGGGTTGTTCGAGAACAAACGTTTTAGACGTTGGAATATAAGTGTTCAGTTAATACTAACTAGACCACTTTCTTTTATAGCTGAAAAGGTGGATTTAATAACTAACGAGTGGTTACCTATATTGAAAGACATGCTAATTTCTAAGATGCAACATCTAACCCACAGAACCCAAAAACATAATTTTACCTCCATCTAAATGAAATAAACAAATATACTTCGTACATGGTTCTTGGTATTAAAGTGTTGTATATATTTAATGCAGAAATATGGAAATTTACATATGAAAAACTGTAGATTATCAAGAGTTAAAAATATCGAAATTATGCTAGTATATCTAAATATTTTGTACAAAATTGTGATGTTAATGGTGAAATGTTTTATCGTACACCAAAGAAAATGAATCTCCCTGCCTTTGAAACCCTGGATGTTTTGATATCAAATTACTCAACTGAGGTAACTTGATTACTTCATTTCCATTTATATACACTACGCGCAAACTAGGGCAATAAACTAAGTCTTCAATCGATTCAAAAGTACACAGTCGATTGCGTTGGACAGAAAGATTGGTTAGAGACGGAAGACGGGAAATCCCATAGAGAGTTACTAACTGGTTATCATCTAAATTCAGTTCCAAAACAGAGATTAAATAAGAGAAAGTATCCGGGATTCGTACGATTGAGTTATTAGAAAAATCGATTTTGGTCATCAACGCATACCAATCAAGATTACGAAAGCAACTCATATCCAGATTATGTAACACCACTTCCCTGGACTGGTCTTCATATGCATGAGCCAGAACATCTAGGGCTGCATACAAAGATCGCAAGTGCTCATAATAAAAAGAACGCTGAGGATCAACTGACACTAACACGTTCAACGCTTCTTTTACCTCTTCATGAAAATTATGCGGTCGAATAAAACGAAGAAGGCTGATAAGCGTCAACAAAGCCCATTTGTTTTTCGGTTCAAATGACAGCAGGTCACGAACAATATTCAGTTCCCCAATCAAATCTTTTGGATCATGCGAGGGCAAAATCATAGGATTTAACAATCTTAGAGGGTCCAGAGTGACGCGTGTCAGTGATTCATTTTGATGAGAATCCATACAACACTGAAGGGACAAGTAGTTTGCAGAATCTTCAGGCATATTAACACAGATTTCCTGGTTTCCATCGCCATTAGCTTTTCTAATCCGGACTTGGGCTACGACATTCCAAGGTTGACACTGATATAGGTGCCTATCATTATCAGGAGCGTAACGAGATACTAAATCTTGGTTAAGCGGCAACCACCAAACAGCTGATAACTGCTCATCTAGGACAGAGTTCCATCCCCCAAGAAGCTCAGGTGTTAAAGTTATAGAATTAGAAATTGTACCGTCACATGGAAACACTTTTATGGAAACCTGTAAATCTTTTAAAGTTTGGATCAATTTCACAGAGCTAAAAACAAGAACAAATCTTCCCAGCTTCCGTGAAATATACAGTTCCCTTAAATAAACCTTTCTTTCTCCGCGACCCAGTAACCACCAATAATAGAACCAAGGACTCTGATCAGCGGGATCTGTGAATATTGCATTGTGAACAAGATCCAGTTCGCCATTTGGTAATGAAAAATCAAACCGAGATTGGCTTTGTTTTTTATTCAACTGAGTCTGAGGATTAAGACTTTCGGACGATGATACAGAAGCGTTAGACCCAGAAGCTAAAAGTTCACCACGATAGTGCCAAGCCGAATAATTGCTCATATTTTTTTCTATGGCAGAGTCTGTAAACTCCAGCTCTAACTCCGTTGAAATACTACCCTTGGAAACGACAAAGCGGCGGTAATCCCAACAGTGAAAATTTCTTTCATCTTGTGTTAAGGCTTGGTTACAAAGCTTCAATTCAGATTCCCAATTCGGAGAAGTGTGATTGTTCATAACCCAAGATCGGTGATACCAAACAGTATAAGATTTCGGCGAGCTATATAAACAGCGAGTTGTAAGGTTCAATTCAGATTCGAATAACTTTGAAACCTTTTCTTGATCCTCAGAAAAATTCCGAATAAGATGCATTATTATTTCTCGTCTATAATTCCACAGGGTTGCTGTGTCTGGAGATGTCTCAACAAGGGAAGCAATTTTTTCCAAATGCACTTCATTGAAGTCATCATTTTCACGACATAACCAGAGCTTCTCACATTCTTCTGAGAATTCTTTACTTATTTGGTCCTTTTTTAGCTTTTTAGCTCGTTCTTGTTCAGCTGTCTGTATAATTTTAACTCTTCCATGCATATTGTATTAAATTTATTTAAATTAAATAATCGACTGGCGAGTGATGGTGGCTACCCTCGTGAGTTACAAGTCTGTAAGAAAAAAACACAAGAAAACTACTATGAGCCTAAACCCGGAAAACGCATCAATATGCATATTCAAATTTGCATGGTGTCCAGTATAGTGACAAGCATTACTAGGCTCCTCTAATGTAAAGGCTGCTCTTAGTGATAACACGTTAAACATATGCGCCGTGCTCATGATACATAAGTGATGCACAGACTACCTAGTGGACTAAAAAGTCCAGTTTACGACGGTTAACCACTTATCTGATAATAAGAGTTTGAATAAACACACTTTAATACATATGATGACTAATGCATGTGAAACTGATCGATGTATGTTGATGGATGTCACGAAATTGTGAAAACTGGACGAAAAAGTAAGATTTAATGACAGTTAATGCATGCTGAATTCTCATGACAACAGTAAACATTCGGTTGTCGACAATAGACAGTGTTTTCTTCGCATAAAAGTTGGGAGTTTAAAAAAATTACCCTATCCAGTAATCAGAATGACACAAGTTAGATACATAATAATGAAAACTCACTCAAGGATAAACGCACTGTGAAGGAAAATTTGAAGATATGCGCAATCCTGTCTGAAGGTCACAAGCAGTTACAGGTGTTTAAACAAACACAATGAACTTTACTTTCAGAAATAGCGACCTAGAAGTTATTGTTATGCACGTGGTTGTGGTGTACTATTCGTAGTTACGTGAAAATAAAACTTCCGCTTCAATTTTTCAATGTGCATAAATTAACAAACTATTCGTTAACAAAGGAGGTAGGATAAAAGATTGGAAGAGCTGGACCCGTTCTAATGATTAGAATTCCACTGTTTATTTTAAATTCTTTGAATACCTCGGGCAACGTTGTTGTATCTTACGTAGGGGTGTAGTCAAATGGTTTAAATGTTAAAATGGTACTAAATAGACTGGAAGAAGATTCCACTTAACGGCCCTTCAGATCTAGTAACTGTGGATCAACGATCCATCCAAGCAGGAACCTATGTATATTAACGGTAAGAAAGTGACCAGAATAAAATTTGGTAAATGACAATGAGATGCTGTCTTTAGTCTTTAAAAATATGTCAAGTCTCCCAAAAGACTCTTGGAAAGTCACTTGGACTAGTTAAACTAGTATGGATCTACTCTTAAAGAGTAAACTTTGTGCCCACAGTCTGTTCTTCTATGTTGTATCTTCAGTTTCTGGGTGTCAAGCCCAAGGTTTGTGTTCAGACTGTACTTAATCATGTGATAAAGGGATGCCCGGATATATTTAGGAAGCTGTAAGTCATTAGGAGGTCACCTCTGAGACGCCTACACTTTAATGAATAAAGGTTTAGTGAGTGGAGGCGCTCTTCATAAGACTTGAATTTGAGTTCCCGAACTGATTTCATGGTTTGCCGTTGGATACTCCTCAGAGTGTCCTTATCCTTTTGCGGTGAGTGAGGAAACAGTGTCTTTTCATACTGTAAATGGATTGAATGAATCTTTCGAAGATTAGGCAGAAAGTTATACTGTCGAACTGAACAAAACTACGCTTCAGTGTTACCAGTGAAAGATTCACTCCGAAGGCATTTTCGTCACAGCTAACATTTGACTTCAGAACATAGGATACCAACACTCTTAGATCGTTTTCAACTTGAAATACCTCTAAAGAGGAGTTACCTAAGTTTTGCGCGTAGTGTATGATATGTCTCAGATGGACTACATTACACTTACAGGTGTTAAGGTGAAGTCCATCCTCATCTACTTTACTTAAAAGTCGAGTAATTTACCCACGAAATGCCAGCTTATCATCTTAAATACAAAGTTCTCTCCAAAGCTTCACTTCATCATTGAAAAGTACTGAATCAGATGATACGTTCTGAGGAGGGTCGTTAGGATAAATAAGTGGTCATATAATTGAACCTTGAGAGAAGTTCATCTGAACTTCAAAACGTCGGTTATTTAGATAATAAGTGACCCAATCAATTAAAGGCGATTTGATACCTAATTGTTTGAGCTTACTGATAAGACATATACGTCAACCTTCCCATTGCGATCAAGGATGGTCTTCCATCTATCCACCTCAGTCAACAGGTTCGTTATACAAAAGTAACCTTTTCTGAAGCCGTGAAAAAATCTTTATGGATGGTAAGTAATCACATAGGCCGTCACATATCATTGGCTTCATAATTTTTGAGGGCATTCAGTGGGGTGCTACGGCCTGTTTGCAACATCGAAGTTCTTTGAAAAGTGGTGTATTGCGAGCCAGCTTCCAAGTTTCTGGCTCTGTGCTTCGTCCTAGCGAACATAAGAATATCGCACTGAGAGTTCTTGCCAAGACTGAAGCTGCTTCTCTCAGTTTAGCAGAATGAACCATATACGGACCGGAAGAAGTGTTCTTGTTTAGATGCTCAAGAAAGTTGGTTCTTCTGTTTCCCGTCTCCCAGATGGGATCCCACAGGAAACTCCTAGAAGCCGCAATCGCAAGGCTCGATTGGTTTCAAGCGGTAAACATAACCTGACCTCTCAGGTCGTCGAAAACCCTCCAGAATCCAACACTAGGTTTCACGCAACTGTTGTTGCTTCTCCCAGCACCGTTGACGAGTGGGTACAGGTTGTAAGGAAGAAAAAAAGTTGCGATATAAAAGGTAATCCTACCCCCGCGAAAGTAGTCGTAAAATCGAAAGATGATAATAGCGACAGATCAGCTATTTTTCATAGAATCAAGGAGAGTGGGAGCTCTGAACCCAAAGCTCGTTTTTAGCATGACATTGTGCTGATTAAGCAGCTGCTTAATCAACTCATGCCTCAAAATACCACCTTGCTAAAGGCGTACAGACTAGGTAGTCCAACGAGCTTGAAGCCTAAACAATCCAGACTGCTTAAAGTAGTATTCGGCTCTTCAAACGAATGTGACTTAGTTTCACAGAGTGGATATAAATTAAAGGATTCAGGAGTCTTTATACGAAAGGACTTACCGTTGGCAGGCCGCGTAAAAAGACGGGAAGTCGAAAAAGAACTACAACTTTGGTTAGTCGCTGGAGAAAAGGACCTAAAAATTGTAAATTTTCGGGTTGTAAGGCTTCGACAGAGAATGATGCCGAAGCCACTCTGGGTGAAGCATGAAGCCACTTAAATAGGCTTCGGATCTGCTACACTAATGCCCGAAGGTTACTTAATAAGCGATCGGAACTAGGTGTACAGACTGACTCTTCAAAGCCAGACATAATCGCAGTTACAGAAACCTGACTGACACAGTCTATAGGTAGTATGGAACTTGATTTCGAGGGTTTTACGTTGATAAGAGCCGACAGAATGCAAAAGCGTAAAGGAGGAGGAGTAGCTCTATTCATTCGGAATGCTATCTCATTTCCATTATCGACAGTGTATACCATGAGAGTGGGACGTGTGAATTAGTTAGTTGCCGCTTGAAATGCAAGGGACAAGAGCTGCCGATTGATTTGGTCTATCGCAGTCCAAGCTGTGAGGTAAATGAGGTCCTGCTAAGCAGTCTCAATACTTGGTCACAAAGTAGTCGATGTCTAATCCTAGGGGACTTTAATGCACTTATGGTAGACGGGGAAAATCTGCGAACAGAATCGTCAGAAAATTTCTCCGAGCAGGAACTAGTTGATGCGGTTATCACATGTGCCCTAGTGCAACATATGAAAGAAGTGACTAGGTACGATACGGACACTGAATCATCCTTACTAGATCTGATACTCACTCACCATGTGGATGACGTTGCGAACCTTCATTATATGCCACCCCTAGGTAAAAGTGGTCACGCAGTTTTAACTTTTGACCTCCATAAAACTGTCAGTCACGAGGACGCGTTAGCTCAATCCAAACCCAACGTCTGGAAAGCACATATACCAGATATCATGCACTCAGCATCGTTAGTATATTGGACAATAGACGCAGAGTCCTCAGTTGAAACGGCCTGTGCCGCATTTCGAAATTCATACTTAAAAGTTACCACAACCCACATCACTTGGGTTATACCAAGGGGGCCGAGAAATTCCCCATCATGTTCCAGTAGGGAGGTCCGCATCCTTCTCCGTAAAAGAAGAAAGATGTGGGATAGATTTAGGTCACTGGAGACTGATGAAACTAAATCCCAGTATAGAAAAGTCTGGAATACTGGTGCCCCGACTCTCCGTAAGTCTAGAAAGTTGTAAGAAAAAATTATCGTTAAGGAGTCCACAGAATGTCCTAAACGTTTGTATTCCTATATAAACCAAAAGACAAAGAGAAGAGGAAATATTCCAGCACTATGGGGAGGCAGTACTGTCTTATCATTAGTAGAGGACGACTTTGGTAAGGCTCAGGTGTTCTCAAACTACTTTAGCAATATATATATACCATAGAAGAACCTGAAGATGGCACAGGTACTTAGTGTTTGACAACACTTTAACCAGTACCACCTTCTATTATAAAGCGTACCCACCAAGAGAAATTAAAAGACAGAATCGAGGAGATCGGAAGGTATATTTGTTGATTGACAATATATCGAGAGTCGTCTGATCTAATCTGGTTAGCGATTGCAGTATATGTTGAGCACGGCGTTCCCACACGTGATCTGGTGCGGATGCATGACCGAGCGCGTTAAGCTAGGTGAGTCCATCAAAACATGGTCAGCATCTAATGTCGAAAACTTACAGAGTTATTTATTTTAAGGATTTATTTACAGCCACACACCCTTCCTATCAGCGCATACAAATCCCCCCACACGTACACTGGATAACGTGGCCATTAAAGAAATCAATGATTTTCGTCTGTTGAATAGACTTAACGTAGGTAAATCCACGGGGCCCGATGAATTGCATCCGAGGCTACTGAAAGAATTATCTAACTTCGTTGCAAGCCCTTTAAGTATATGATTTAATCTATCCGTATCGCAGGGTCGTTTACCCAAAGACTGGAAAAACGCCATAGTAGTCCTGTCTTCAAAACAGGTCCGAAAAATAAACCTGAGAATTACCAACCCGTTAGCCTAACTAGTGGGGTTGTTAAAATCTTAGAAAAGATTATTCGGAAGGAGCTGTTTAATTGTCTCGATAAAAACCGGATCCTTTCGGAGAAACAGAACAGCTTCAGAACAGGTTATTCTTGTCTCACTAACTTATTATTGGCTCGTGAAAGCTGGTGCGCTCTTAAGGACCAGAAGCTACCTGTAGACGTCGCCTCCATTGATTTCAGTAAAGCTTTTGATAAAGTTCCGCACAACCGGCTGTTATATAAGTTAAGAAAAGTCGGGATTGGAGGCAATTTATTGATGTGGATAAAAGACTTCTTAGTTGGGCGTCAACAAAGTGTACGGGTGAACTCAAACTTACCTAGCTAGGGAACTGTTCTTAGTGGAGTGACCAAGCGTACAGTTTTGGGGCCAGTGCTATTCTTCTTGTATGTAAATGACCTTCCTTGTCTCCTATCATCATCGGTCTTGCTATATGCTGACGATGTCAAGATATGGAAAGCGATACGATGTAAGAGTGAAAGCTTAGAACTTCAAAATGACCTGAAGAAGTTATCTGAATGGTCTCAAACATGGCAGTTGCCGATAAATACTTCCAAGTGTGTTGTGATGCATATCGAT